TCTGTCAACTAAGACAGTTGTCAATGCAAAAAAAAAAAAAAATAAATTTTGTTTGTTTTTTTAAGAAGATAGCTACCCATCCACCCAGCTGGTCACATATATGTGACCATTTTTGGTGTGTTGGTTTTTTTTTTAAAGTGATCTAACAGAAAGTCCAAATTGTTAAACAATATTATTGGTATAATATGCAAGTAAAATAATGCCAAAGATTATTTCTTTCTTTCTTTTTTAAAATTAATTTTAATGAACATTTACAGAGACTTTGGATTTCCATTCATTCATTGGGATTTTTTTTTTAATTGGCTAGAACATCTACAAAGACCTGTCAAAAATTAAAGCTGGATTCAACAGAGGCTATAGAATGTAGAAAATCATTGCAGCTTTCAGATAGTATTTAGCTGGAAGCAGAGAATACCATAGAGATATTTACTTGTGTTTTATTAACTATGCCTATGCAAAAGGTATTTGGCTGTGTGGACCATTAAAAATTATGGCAAAAATTGAGAAGAATGCAAATTTCTGAACACTTGATTGTGCTCATTTGGAACCTTTATATAAATTAAGAAGCAATCATTTGAACACAACGGGATAAATAATTTAAATTCGAGAAAGTTGTATATCAAGGTTTTATCCTTTCACTGTGCCAATTTAAGGTGTATGTTGTGAAAATAATACTATAAAATGGATGAGCATGTACTATCAGAACACACTATAAGGAAGACTCATCAACAACCTGTGTTATACAGATGGCACAATCTTGCACAAAACTGAGAAGACGTGAAGCACTTCCTGAAGAAAACAAGGATTATAGTTGTCAGAGTAGACTATGTACAAACACAAAACAGAAATCTTCACAATTGGACAAATATTCTGAGTCATTAAAGATCGAGAAAAGTCTGAAGTTGTCAAAGATTTCTTTTACAACAGTAAGTCAGCAGTAGTAAAGAAGCTGAATGAAGTTATGCATTAGTTAAGTAGGCCGCCAAGCAGGTCTTTACCATGTTATAAAGCAAGACTATTTTTTTTTAAAATCTTTTAAATTTTATTATTTTTGTGTGAGTGTACCGTCAAATCAGATCTGACTGGTACAGGAGGAGATTATCCCTCCCCTTCCCCGGCAGAGCATCTGGTGGATTCGAACTGTGTGCCTCTGGGATTGTAGTTGCAGCTCCTTGCCACTAGGCCACCAGAGCTCCCCCGCAAGACTATTATTTTAAAGACAAAGGTACGTCTGACTGAAACCATAGTATTTTCAATTGCTTCATAAGCTTGTTAAAGTTGGACAATGAATAAAGAGAACCAAAGAAAAATTGATGTCTTTAAGTTGTGGTGTGGCTGAAGAATATTGCACGAACATCCAAAATAACAAACATATCTGTGTTGGAAGAATTACAGCCTCCTTGGAGGCAAAGATGATAAAATTTTATCTCACATCCTTTGGGCAGGTTGTCAAGAGGGGCCAATCATTGGAAAAGAACATTATGAATGGAAAACTGGAGGGTTAGTGTAAGAGAGGAAGACCTTTAATGAGGTAGAGTGACACAGTGACTGCATCCGTGGGCTTATGCACAGCAGAGATTGTGAGGATGATGCCAGATTGGGCAGGGTTTCAATCCGTTGCATATAAGGTTGCTTTGAATTAGGGTTAACTTGATGACATCTAACAGCCACAACAATAAAAATTCTTAAAATAGATGAGACTGACTGAAAAAGAAAACCAAATAATTGCTGGAATGCAGCAGAAAGTACCAATTATCTCAGTAAAACCTAGGAATTAGGGTGGTGGTAAGAGAAGCAAATATATTCTAAATGTCTCAATTAAGAAAGAAGAAAGTGAAGTAAAAATATTCTAAGGGTCTATTTATTGAGATGGAATAAAGAGTCAGTGAAGAATTAAGGTGATAGAAGGAAAGAAGTAGTAAATAACTTATTTCCATATAATATTAGAAGAAAAAAGTTTAATAATGAATGTCTCAAACAGGACTGTGATACTATTTAAATTAAAAGAAAATGCTACATTTAATAACAGCTCGATTGAAAAGAAAAGTGTAAGTACAAGTGAAAGGATTTAGGAATAATTGGGCATGAAAACATTACTTAAAAAATAAAGACTAAACCAGGAGCAATTCAAGTATAGAAAACCACAAAAATTGATAAGGTCTTAAATCGAAATAAAAAGTAAATAGGTAGACACTTTTAAAAAATTAAAGAAAAATGAGGACAAACAATAATATTAAAGATAGGTGAAGAGAAAACATATAAGATATACGCAATATATGAAGGAAACCAAATGAAGTTGTTGTTGTTATGTGCCGTTGAGTCACCTACACTCATAGTGACCTGTCTACAGCAGCTCTGAAGCCTGCCCTGTACTGAGGCGGTCTCACGGATTCCAACACAACAACCCCCATTGCCCCAGTTACGGTATCAATCCATCCCATCCGGCGGTGTCCTTTTCTGCACTGTTCCTCCACCCTTCGGAACACCGTTTCCTTCTCTAAGGATGGGTCCCTCCTGGCCATGTGTCCAAAGTATGTGAGACAGAGCTTCAAAATCCGAGCCTCCAAGGAGAAATTTGGTTTCACCCTCTCCAAGACAGACCTATTTGTTTTCTTGGCAGTCTAGGGTATGCTCAACATTCTTCTCCAGCACCAAGACTCCAAGGTATATATTCTTCTTCTATCATCTTTAGTCATTGTCCAGCTTTCTGATGCATAGCAAGTAATTGCAAAGACCATGTCCTGGTTCACCTTAGTCTCTAGATTGACATCGTTGGTTTTTAGTAATCTGGAGAGGTCCCTGACAGATGATTTCCCCAGTGCAATTTGTCTTTTGATTTCCTGACTGCTAGCGCCAAGAGTGTTGATTGTGGAGCCAAGCAAGCTGTAATTGTTAACAAACAAGTGTGAAGAGTTAAAAAAAAAAATCTTTAAAATACAGAAACTATATATTGAAACAGAACACTGTGTACTTCATATTATTGACCTACAATCACCAACATCAACACATAATCTAGTAAAATAATGGGCTTTATATTGTTGTTAGGAGCCAGCAAATCGCCTATGACTCATAGAGACCCTCTGAACAACAGTTGAGCCTTGCCCTATCCAGCACCATCCTCATCGTCTCTGATAGGCTCAAGCCCATAATTATAGTCCTGGTGTCAATCCATCTCTTTGAGCGTCTTCCTCTTTTTCGCTGACCCTTTACTTTTCTGAGTACTATGTGTTTTAACAAGGACTATTTTCCCTCCGAAAACATAAACAAAGTATATGCGATGAAGTTTCACTTCCTTGCCTCTAGGAAGCACCCTGGTTGCATTTCCTCCAGGATTGATTTGTTTGTTCTTTTGGCAGTCCATGCGATGTTCAGTATTCTTTTCCAACACCACAATCGGGCTATAGAGCAGAAGAAATTTTTATTTTTTTTTTTTTTTGCACTTGCTGCAGAGGGTCAAGGACTGCAGCCTTCAGTATGGACTGAGGCTCAATGTCAAGAAGACAAAGATTCTCACCACTGGACCAATT